TTCTTCTTCTCTCATTTTTCTCGGTTTACCATGGCTGCCATGTGTGATTGAGGCCATAAAGGCGGCCAAATATGGTTGGCCGTGTGGGCTACAACGCTGACCAAATCTGGTCGACCATGTAGTCCATGTGGCAGGCTAGATTTGACTACCCACATAGACCATGCTGACGGACAGATCTACCATACTAAATCCTCCAGGTGGGCTTAGTGATGAAGATGATAAAAAATGTTAAGCAAATTTAGCTTCTCGAAGTACCTTTACTTTCGTTTGGTTCTTGTTTTTCAATAGTGCTGTGTTTTTCATGTCCTTGATGACCATCATGATACTCACCAACAATTATCCTAAGTTTTGGGAGCTTATATTGCAATACTTGCAATGATGCTTACCTATGATGGTGCAATGGCATCAATTTCACTTAGTGGGCATTTCCAAATATTCATCATTTTGCTTGCCTTCTTAATGCTTGTACCTTTCCCCTTTGCAGTTGATAAAATAAGAAAATGTAGGAGACTTGGAGAGTTTATTTCTGTGAGCTCGAGCTCGATTAGTTGAGTTCAAGCCCGAGCTCGAACTCGAATTTTTAGCTTCGAGCTCGAGCTTGAGTTCGATTTTTCAAGCTCACCAAGCTCGAGCTCAACACTACAACAACTGAGCAAGCTCAGCTCGGCTCGGCTTGTTTACACCCCTAGATATGAAATGATAGGTATAATTTTTTTTTTTTTTTTTTTAAATTATGTGAATGCTGTAAGAAATTAAAGAGTTTTGGAATCAATGGATGTTTCAAGTGAAAAAATGTTGAAGATGTGATGGATTACTTGTAAGTTGTAAAACTCAAAATCTAAGGCTCATGAGGTATCAAATTGTCAAATTTCTCGATTAGAGAGGGTTGCTCTATTGTATGTTTATCCCTTTTTTAATTCTTACAAGACCTTTTAGATAAGAACCGAAAATGAAATCTTGTGAGCTATATGGGAAGCTATAACATATTGAGTTATTTCAATGGGTTGGATCTATCTCATTGTATTAAGTATGCTCATCAACCGAACAACTTCCATACAAATAAGTACGATTTTGATGGGAAGTGTAACATCCAAAATCTAAGAAATCTAAGGCATTGACTTGAGGCCAAGATTGAAAATACTTGTAGATCCCGTTCTCATGGAGTGAAATGTGAGAATAAAACCAAGTAGGTTAGTTAGAAAACTCAAAACAGTTAATATCGTTGTATTTTGGGAAAGTGGAATTCAATTTAATTCTGCTCGTAACCATTTTGTTCTTCTTCTCCATTTATTAAAGGGTTAGAAAGCAAAAACAGACCAAATTTCAATTTATACCTAAAGTGCTAAATGTTTTGATGAATTTACGAATGTGAATGTTGATATATCTATTTTATTTTTCATGAACCACCTTAAAATTGACGGCATTAATTTCATGATCCTAATATTATTAATGATTCATTTGTATATGATTACATCAGTTTATATTATTGCACCAAACCGCAAGATTACCCTCAAGTTTTTATATTGGATCAAATCTACTTAATCTCATCACTTTTTAACTGATCTAACAATAAATTAATTAGGGCCTCTTTATGTAGTGCCATAGATATTTTCCACATTAGAAATACCACTTTTCCATCGAGTTTGCTTTAATAACACTTTTTCACGCAAAAAAGTTTAAAAATACTATTTTTTTCACCTAAAGTTTATATTTCGTTTCCAAAGCCTATTCTGACGGAGAAATTCTCTCTGTCATCACAATTTAAATATTCGGTCTCCTCTTTATAAAACCTCTCTAATCACACGACACCTGATTTCTTGTCGATTGTTGGTCATCGCAAAGCTAGATTTCATGTTCTTGATGATTTCTGATTTATTTTTTATGGTAAATATTCAATGGTCACCACCATTTAATCCACTAGCCTCCACTCTACAAATACCTTTCTACCCTGGTTCTTGGTAACTCGTCGAACGTCGACTGAGAAAGTGAAATATATTTTAGGTATTAACAAAATATAACTTTTAAGTAAGAAATGGTCATTAGGCAAACATTGGTAGGGAAAAGCAATTTATTTTTATTTATTATTCCACAGATTACAAGAGAATTGATAATACTTTGTTAATCGAGATTAAAAATACTTAATGATAATATCCACACTTAGAGATATATTCGCTATACAACAAACAAAGTACGGCACCCATATTATATAATAGAGAACATTATATGCATAAAATAAACAAGATCGGCACCATGTTATATGATAGTAACAATATATATATCATATTATGATAATCATATTCTATAAAAATCATAGCTCTATTGATCTCCATCATAAAATCTTTCCGAGCTCCCACTTATAAGAGCTTTGATTCAATTGGGTAAACTTTAATTAGTAAACCAATTTAATTATTTATGCTTTGATAAGGACACAGTCATCTCTGTAAAACCTTGTTAATTCAATTTATTCTCTTTATTCACGTGACATTAATCTATCACCTTTTCAAATTTTTTCCTGAAAACCATGATATTGTGAATGGTGAATCTTCTCTTAACTTTCTTCTATATTATTTATTCATCTTCCAAAATATCTTGCTTAAAAGCCAGGTGGCACCACAACCTCTGAAATATCTTCGTCCTTGGACATTATTTTATGGGGGGAATTATAACATAGCTGCCAAGCTCAAAAGGGCCGACACGTGTTGGTGACAGGTAGGTAGGGCACTTTTTTTTGTACTTTATTTTATTTTATTTATTATTGTACAGAACTTTCTTTCCCTGATACTTCCGGGTATAGGTAACTAGAAAATTGAGCCTATATTTTGAGAATTTAAAAGACCTAAAGGCGAGGTTAGGACATGGACATCACTACGTGTTAATTTTGTATTAGTTGAAAGAGACACGTTTAAGACCTAATCTTCGAGTGTTTGTAGCTGATTTTGCGTGGTTAAATATGAGGCCGCTACGTGTCCCTGGAGGTTCGTCTTCGTCCGAAACTTTTTTCCATTGGCGCAAGTTTGTTTGCCAAACCGAGTCAGCCTCACGTTTCGTGAAACCGGGCACAAAAACCAGCCGCTTTAGCCGCTCAGCTTAGCTCTCGGAGTACACTTCTTTTGCCAACTACTTTACTGCTCACGCACCTTATATTTTACGCTGACTGCGATATACAATGCTGTCACTAAAGCTATTTACAAAACGATAATTTCGACTTCAATTGTAAATTTATCAAATATTATGGCTGAAATTGCCAAGAAACAAAATCAATCACGAATTTATTATGAATAGTACTATATATACTAGTTCATATAAATTAATGTTTTGTAATATGGTTTGAATGATTTTAAATTAATGATAATTAAATAAATTAAATAATTATATCTAAATATATAATTACCACATCAATTTGTAAAAAATAATTTATATAATTAGTTTTATGCATATGTAATATAATCATTTATTATTATCAAGTTAAACTTTTGGACAAATAAACTCATGAGACTTCCATAAAGAGTTTATTTAATATTAAATTATAAGAAAATCTTGATATTATACACAAGTTGTTTCTTATGTACAAATATATGCTTTCAATATCCTATTTAATGTTTAATTAGTCTCAAATATAACCAATTTACTTGTGACCATTAAATAAGTACCCTTTTGATATAGAATTTAAATATAGTTTTTGGTTTTTAAAAAAGAATAATAAATCTTTTGAAAATGTGTTTGTAAAATGAGTTGAATTGTTTAAAAAAAATAGTTTTTGATACAATCATAAAATTGGTATAAAATTAAAAAAAACGTTTTTAATATTTTTTAACAGTTTTAAATTTGAATAATTTTTTAAATTTTATTTCAGATACATTTCAAAATTTAAAAAAATTAAGATACAAATAAAAAATTATATTTTAATATTAAAAATGATTTTTAATCATAAACCAAACCAATCCTAAGTTTTTATCCGTTCTTGAATAACAAATACATTATTTTAATATAATTTCTTTTTCTATAAAAATATTGTGTTGGATAAATATAATAGTTTTAAAAAAAATAATATGATTTATTTTACATCAAATAAATGACCCTGCGAAGAAAATAGGGCGTCCCGAAGCCACGCCAAGCAAAAAGCTGGTGTAAAGGCTGTAAAACCGACTCAAATTAAAATTTTAAAAAATTAACTGCTTGCTACGCTGAAACCGTAGCTGTCCCAAAACCTCAAAAGCCATTTTTATATACCTCTTTTCATTTGCTCTCAGATATTTTCCGAAACCCTAGGTTTTCAAAAACAAAAAAGATAAATTCAAATAAACCCAATTAAACTGATTGATTACTGTATAGATCGGTGGGGGCATCACCTGTGTTTTTTATATACCTCTTTTCATTTGCTCTCAGATATTTCCATGCCCCCCTCTCTCTCTCTCTTTTCTTCTCTAGCGTTTTCTGCAACTTTTCACTGTCTCTCTCTAAGAAGCAGATCTCTTGTCATTTTTTACCCTTTACGTTCATCTGTGAATTCGATTTTTTCTTTAATTTTGACATTCTCTTTCGCCAAGGGATTTGCATTTTTGTGAATTTATGTTTACGTATTTGTACGTCGGAGCTCCTTCATGTTGTGCTGGTTCCTTGCGTAATTTGTTGCTCGATCTATGATGACCTTTAGTTTGAGGTAATTTACATATATATTTTTTATGTTCCGGTGCCTTCGCATATGAATATAATGTGTTTCTGCAATATACTTAGGATTTGTTTGGTTGTTGAGAAACTTTGAAGGAAAATAAAGGCGCAAAGCGGACGGAGAACTGATTACTTCTTGCAGACCCATTTTAAATCCCTAATTGTCATTACTTTGACGGTTTTTGGTTAATTAACCAATATTTTATTTATCAAACTAGCTTTGATGATTTATGTTATTATTATTGATTTCAGTAGCTCTATCTGTTTCTTTTGTTATTTCTTGTACGTTTACTTAGATCAATTGTATTTACTTCATTCTGTGTTATATTCAGATACTAGTTGTGTCGAAGGGTGGACTTTGATTAAAGGAATGTTTGCGTTTGTCTTTCAGGTGAGTGATAATTTTTCCTTTTCTTTAAGTATCTTTTATTTCTTTTGATGGTTAGGTTATAGTGTTTAGTACAGCTTACGTTTGAGTTGTTGGGACTTTTTAGAACTTTAATTGAATGCACTCATTGTTTTTCTACCGAGATGTTAATGTGTATGTCAGATTATACATGTTTGGGCAGCAGTTATTTCTTTTATAGGCTGACATTTCATTAGATTTGTACCACTTCCACATTTTTATGTTCTTTGCTAAAATCGTAAGCCATGAATAATGATTTTCCTATGCAGTATCCAGGTCTTTTCAATAAGCTTGTACTATAAAGTCACATAAAATATTGATACCATCAGTTTTCTTTTAATTTTGTTAGAATCAAATGGAGTTATCATTTGACCAAAAACTAGACGTTAGTAGAGATTGCCACGGCCTTCCCTGTTTGTAGGATCTTGGCTAATCTGGCTAACAATCCCCCTAATTTGCCTGGAAATAGTAAGTGTCTTTAGGGATTTGAACTCATCCCTAGTACGTGCCAAAAATATTATGCTTTCCTAGGGAACTTAACTTATGACCAAATAATGGCACTACAAAAACTTTTTGGGACGATATTTTTTTTTTTTTTGATAATCCAGAAATCTCTGCACTTGCTTGACAAGCCGAGTTCGAGAATTGGAGCCTCTCGCCGACCTGCAATCTGGGAATCAGGAAACGATGGCCTTTGGCCATGCTAGTGCCCATGAGGGCTCGAACCCCAGACCTTGTGGGGAAACACCACAAGTCTGTCCATGCGCGAGCTCAATATCAATATATTTTCCTTAATAATTGAACCTCTGATTATGCTTTCAATTATTAAGGAAAGCATACTACTTGCCTGTGATTATGCACACCTACGGTTTGATTATGACTAGGTGTTGTTGCTCAACCCAAACCTTGAGAATAAAAGAATCTAAAACCAATATGTGTAAGTCTTTATGGTGGAGGCATTGAGACTTGTCCTTACTGTATGTGTTAGGTAACTATTTTACTCAAAAGCTAAATTAAGGTAAGAGTTGAGCAACAATATTTAAGCTCTTATTTCCTCCCTCATATTGTTGTTTGAATGGAAATTTTTGTAATAAATAACTCATTCTGGTTTATATTTATATAATGTTTGTAGTTATTTGTCATATGCTTTTCCCCTTATATAATGTATTTATAACTTATGGGAGAACTATAGAAAGACGCTTGCAATTTTAGTTGTTCACTATCTCAATGTCATATTTTAGAATCTAAGTAGATTGATCCTACTAGCTACCTTAGGTACTTGGTATAACGACCGTTGACAACATCAGTCAAAACCAATCTTCTGAATTTTTTTTATTTTTACTGATTGACATATGCAACAGTGTTAATGAGGCCCAGCCAGCTGTACATCAATTATGGTCCATATTTATTATACCTAAAAAAATCACGTCTATGTCAACACAATTAAAACCTCTTTATACTAGCTGTCAAATCTATATCTTCTCAAAGATATTTACACTAACTCGATCTCATTTCAAGAAATAAATGGACAAAAACCTTCCATGTATCAAAGCAACTTGCAAAACACTCATTACTCTATCTCATTTCAAGAAATGAATGGACAAAAACCTTCCATGTGTCAAGGTAACTTATAAAACACTCATTACATTGAGTGTTTAAGTGTATAAATGGGCACTCCTCTTCCCAAATAAGGAGGCTGGGCTGAGATTTGAGCTTCATTTCATTCTCTCTCTATAAACACTGTATTTCTTCATCTTTGTATGTCTTACGGGCAAAATCATAGAAATAGTCAGAGATCAACAAAATAACAGTGGATATAGGAGTCGCTTGTTGAGCATCCGAACCACTATAAAAACCTCTCTTGTCAGCGTATAATTTATATTTTCTGCAAAATATATAATCTCGGCTCCATATTCAAATCTCATGGATCCATCACGTGTGATTCTTTAGTCTGCTTAGCGCTTCTCATGTGCAAGTCGTTGGCGTCCAAAATCAAGCATCAACAGTTTGGTGGCCCATGTAGGTCCGATTCTCCTCAAGCCTGCATCCAAGTTCCTTGATGGCATGCTCAGATCTCAAACCTGCGTCAGACTTCTCCAATCGCGTGGCCAGATTGCAGATCGCACGCATCAGAATTCTCCAACCGCGTGGCCAGATTGCAGATCGCACGCATCAGAATTCTCCAACCGCGTGGCCAGATCGTAGATCGTATGCATAAGAGTTCTCCAATCGCGTGGCCAGATCGCAGATAGCACGCCCATGTCATCCTGATCCTCGGCTTCAGATCGCTTATCTTTAGCTTCAAATCGCGTGTTCAGATCACTAATCACACGCTGAGATCGATGATCTCTTGTGCTCTTATGTAGAGCTCGTTATGATCGCTCAGGTCGAGCTCGTTTTGACCTCTAAGATTGAGGCCGTTTTGCTCATTGAGCTCGTTTTGACCTCTCAGGTCGAGGTCATTTTGACCTCTCAGGTCATTCTCCTAACAAATTGTAGGTCATTCTCCTAACAGATTTCAGGTCGTTCTCCTAACAGATCCCAATCAGCTCCTAGCTCTCAACACTTGATCGCGCCAGATTTTAGTTCGAGCTCTTCAGTTCGAGACTGTAGCCATTCAGATCAAAGACTTTAGTTTCTGAAGCGCAACTACGCACTTCAAAAACTGGGGAGCTTCTGTTATGCCTCAAAAGTCACGCCTATGTCAACACAATTAATGTCTCTTTGTACTAGCTGTCAGACCCATATCTCCTCAAAGATATCCACACCAACTCTATCTCATTTCAAGAAATGAATGGACGAAAGCCTTCCATGTGTCAAGTCAACTTGCAAAACAATCATTACATTGAGTATTTAGGTGTATAAATAGGCACTCCTCTTCCCAAAGAAGGAGGCTAGGCTGAGATTTGAGCTTCATTTCATTCTCTCTCTGTAAACACTGTATTTCTTCATCTTTGTATGTCTTACGGGCAAAATCATAGAAATAGTCAAAGATTAATAAAATAACAGTGGATGTAGGAGTCGCTTGTTGAGCATTCGAACCACTATAAAAACCTCTCTTGTCAGCCTATTTTTTATATTTTCTGCAAAATATATAATCTCAGCTCCATATTCAAATCTCATGGATTTATCACGTGTGATTCCTAAGTCCGCTTAGCGCTTCTCACGTGCGAGTCATTGGCATCCAAAATCAAGTGTCAACAATATTAGTTGTAATTTGGGAAATGGGAATTCAATTTAATTCTTGCTCGTAGCCNTACTCTGTTTTTACCAATTTCAGTTGTTAATTTCAATCCCAATTCAATCCATCCAAAATCTGTCTCGCGAATTGGTTCCTTGTCTGATTTTGTTGTTGCTTGTTAATCCTTGGGTTTTATCAACTAGTATTAGAGCTTGGTAATGCCTAAATCAAAAATGGAGCAAAAGGTGGAGGGATTAGAAAAAGAAATGGGTAATATGAAGGAAGAGTTAGGCAGTATCAAAGGGTATCTACTGGAAATGAGGGAATGGATGAGACTGAAAGAGGAGAGGGAAGCACAAAATAGTAGAGATCAGGGTAACTCAAATCTGGGGGAAAACTCCAACAGTAACGACAATGGAGAAATGGGTCATAGTAAGGAAACTAAGAGCCTTAAGGAGGAAAAGAAAGGAAAAAAAAAAATTAGAATTACCAATGTTTAATGGAGAAGATCCCTCCGGATGGACTTTCAGAGCGGATCGCTATTTCTCAGTCAATCGTTATACAGAGGGATAAAAGGTAGAGGCAGTTGCGGTTTGTATGGAGAGACGGGCACTAAATTGGTATCAGTGGGTCGAATCAAGGGCACCAATTAGTTCATGGGAAACTTTTAAAATTGCCGTGGTTGCGAGATTTCGTCCATCTTTCAAAGGATAAACATATGAGTCACTAGTGGCCTTAAAACAAACTAGAACAGTAACAGAATTTAGAAAAAGCTTTGAAGAACATTCAGCTCCTTTACGTGAGGTAGGAGAAGATTTGTTAATGGGAATTTTTTTAAATGGACTCAAAGAAGAAATTCGGGCTGAACTGCATTTGGCCCAACCAAATATACTTTTTGCACTTATTATGCAGGCCCACAGAGTTGTGGAGAAAAACTGGGTTTTGGAAAAACAAAGGCCCAAGCCATTTAAGACCCATCTACCTAAAATGGAGCCATACCAGCGGGTCACACCCAACCTAGAAAATTGGCGCACAAATGAGTGGTTCCCAAGTACTTTTTCACATGCTTCAGATCTGGCTTCAAGCAAAGGAACAGATCTGGTTCCAAGCAGAGGAAATGAACGACAGAGGCCAGCCAACGCACCCATGCAAGGAACTCGAGGCAAAGGGTTCCGACGACTTACTGACGCTGAGATTCATAGCAAGAAGGAGAAGGGACTGTGCTTCAAATGTGACGAAAAATACAGTCCCACACACCGTTGTAAGGCGAGATCACTGCAGATTCTCTTAGTAATCGATGAAGACTCACCGGAAAAAGAAGAACCCAACTCTGACAACGACGATGACACCAACCCAACAGGTAATCCCTTGGCTTTGTCTATGAACTCGATTGTGGGTATGACTATGGATAAGACTTTGAAGATCCAGGGAATGATTGGAGATGAGATAGTCATTGTATTGATTGATAGTGGGGCGTCCCACAATTTCATCTCAAAGGAGTTGGTAAGGAAGCTAGGCTTGAATGTGGAAAAGGGGAAACAATTCGAAGTAATGGTAGGCAATGGTTTTACCGTCAGGGGAGAAGAAATCTGCAGAAATGTGAGTATGAGGATCCAGGAGGTGGAGTTGACACAAGATTTTTTCCTTTTGATTTAGGTGGAGCTGATGTGGTGTTAGGGATATCTTGGTTGAGCACGTTAGGAGATGTGTGCTCTAACTGGAAAAATTTAACCATGGCGTTCGATAGTAACGGGCAGAGAATTGTGTTGCAAGGTGATCCTTCGTTAGTTAAGACTATAGTATC